CATATATAATAAAATTTACCCTTTCAAAATGTACAATTCAATTAGCTGGGCATGATAGTGCATACCTATAATTCCAGCGACTTGGGAGGCTGAGGCAAGGAAGATCGCTTGAGTGATCTATAGCCTACAGCCGCTGTACTCCAGCCTGGGTGACAGAGTGAGACCCTGTCTCAAAACAAAAAGTGTGCAATTTAGCAGTTTTCAGTATATTCACAAAGGTACGCAACCATCACTACTTTCTATTAATATTTCAAGGACATATTCATCACTCCAAAAGGAAATCACATACACATTAGGACTTTAAGTGTGATAGTAAGCCACTGGAAGGTTATAGCAGGAGGGACAGGATCTGATTTATGTTTTTAAAAGATCATGTGGAAAATGGATTCTAGGAGGCAAGGGCAGAAGCAGGAAGACCAGGTGGTCTTTTGCTATTCTTGAGGCAAGAGATGGTAGCTTGGATTAGGATGCTGGTAATGGAAATAGAAAGAGGGGAAGGGGTTCAGGATCTGTTTTACAGCTAGACACGACTTGAATGCAGTGCTTTTTCAATGATCTGCAATGAGGACTAATTTGTTAAATTTCCAGTCTGTCACAGATCAAAACTTTGGAAAAATACAAAATTATAAGTAGAGACAGTGTTTCTAGGGGACACAGCTAACAGAGGCGTATGGGATGCTTTCAGTCTATGCCAATTGTTCTGTCAACTTCCTGGATTGACCCAAAGAACTAGCTGATAATACCAAAGAAGAGAAATAGATTGTTCAGTAGCTGTCTTTTTGGAAAATAAATATTTTTCTGAAAGGAACTTCAAATTCAGAAGGAAGAAACTTTGGAAAGAGGTTAAGAGCAGTACTATTTATAAATGGTGAAACATCTTTTAAACTCCAGATGCCGAAGACTGCTCTGTGCAGACGTTTCTGCTTCCCCTGGGCAGATCTCCCATTCTTTCCTCTGCTCCTACAGCACTCAGCGTGCCTCTGTGGTGGCACTTGTGACAGCATCTCTACTGGTTCATCTGCAGGCTGTCTGTCTGACTATTAGGATGTGGGTGTG